CCTCTATCCAGGCTCTTCCCCAGGGGCTCTCTCGGTTCTGGCCTTTGCCCCTGGTATTAAACCTCTTGCCTCTGCTGGAGTAAGATCCTTCTCCAGAGTCCAGGGAGGTCTGCCCACTGTGACTCTTCTCAAGGGACAGCGGGGTAGTCCTTGCCAGCCTGGGCTTCCGGCCAGTGTCTGGGAGACCCCCCTGGCTGAGACCAGGCCTTCTCAGATACCTGCCAACTGCAGTCCTCCATCTAGGAGTCTCCCCTTCTAGGAGCTCTTCTTACCAGCGCTCATTCTGGTGGGTTCCCCCTCTAGGGTCTTCTGACACAGCCCTCTCCTGGGAGTGCCTCTCCACACCACCTTCCCGTCTCCCTTGGGAGCTCCCTTCTAACTGAGCTTGGGCACCCTTTATTAGGTCCAGGTGCTCACTTACAAAACAGCCACCTTGGGCAGCCACCTCCCAGGTGGGGTAGGGTTGTCAGGCATCTGGTTCTCGACCAGAATGCCAGGTCGAAAAGGGACCCTGCTGGCTCCAGCTGGCACCCCATAGCCCACACCCCCAGCTGGAGCCCGCACCCCATACCCCACACCTGAATCTCTTGCCCCAGCCCAGAGCCCTCTCCCGTATCCCGAACCCCTCATTTCTGGCCCCACCCAGTGCCCGCAATCCCAGCCCAGAGCCCTCACCCCCTCCTGCACCCCAACCCCCTGCCCCAGCCCGGTGAAAGTGAATGGAGGGTGGGGAGAGCGAGTGACAGAGGAAGGGGGGATGGAGCAAGCCGGGGCGAGACCTCAGAGAAGGGGCAGGGCCTCAGGGAAGGGGTGGGGAATGGAGTGGCGCAGGGGTGTTTGGTTTTGTGCAATTAGAAAGTTGGCAACCCTAAGCTGGGGCCTTCATAAAGCAGTCACGAGCATACAAAGCCCTAATCCCCCATAAAGGGCGGCAGCCCCATGAAAATCATGTTTGAGAAAAACAAGACCGATGTAGAATTTTCTACTCAGGACAAATAGGATTTTGACAAATATTAGGCACAGTTAGGACATGTTCCTGGTTCAGAGTTCTGACCATCTTTGGCCATATGCAATTGCTAGTGAGCATGTCAAATGCAATGCGCATCTCCTTAGCAAATCTGTAGTACAGCGATCTTCCTTTTTTCATTGAAATCACAAAGGCCTGCATTCTCTGGATCACTGAATAGAGAATACTGACATCCCATTTCATATTTTTCTTCATGGCAATTGCAAGTGAAAGGAACATAACGTGCAAATACATTTTTTCGCCCCAAAGCGTTGAGCTATTAGGGAATCCGTTCTACAGCATTTCCTTGGGTCTGAATCAAACACAATGAAACATAGAACCATAGAACCATAGGGACGCAAGGCGCCATACCAGGGCAAGTCACAGGAAGGGATGCTGTACGATTTCAGTTCAGCTGGGAAAATAGATCTGAGAATCCGGCCAAAGGACAGTCCTGATTTTACGTGCATTGCTGAGGGGAACCATGCACGAAAGAAGCCATGCACTGCGCTAGCAGGACTTTTCATCCACCGAAACAAACAACCAAACCAAAGTAGGGCCCCACGTTTTCAAAAGTGACTAGAGTTTCTGGAGGCCTCCATTCCTGGGTCACCCATCTGATTTACAAAGGATGGGTGTTCAGCACTTTCTGAAAGTCAGGCCCCTTTTTAGGCCTATCAAGTTAATCCTCCCAAAATTGTGACGCTCAGAATCCCCGGTCACTCTTGAAAACATAGGCTGTAGTTTGAGCAAATCATGAGAAGACTTGGGAAAGATCTGTCGTCGGAAGCAGGTCTCCTGATTCTGTTTGTCGTGTGGTATTGCCCCCCCCCCCCGACATCATGAGATTGGCTTAAAATCATGAATTTAAAAAAAAATTATAATAAATGATGGGTTTCAGAGTAGCCGCCGTGTTAGTCTGTATTCGCAAAAAGAAAAGGAGGACTTGTGGCACCTTAGAGACTAACCAATTTATTTGAGCATAAGCTTTCGTGAGCTACAGCTCACTTCATTGGATGCATAAAGTGGAAAATGCAGTGAGGATGTTTTATACACACAGAGCATGAAAAAATGGGTGTTTATCACTTCAAAAGGTTTTCTCTCCCCCCACCTGGATTTGTGCTGGAAATGGCCCACCTTGATTATCATACACATTGTAAGGAGAGTGATCACTTTAGATAAGCTATTACCAACAGGAGAGTGGGGTGGAGGGAGAGAAAACCTTTTGTAGTGATAAACACCCATTTTTTCATGGTCTGTGTGTATAAAACATCCTCACTGCATTTTCCACTGAATGCATCCGATGAAGTGAGCTGTAGCTCACGAAAGCTGATGCTCAAATAAATTGGTTAGTCTCTAAGGTGCCACAAGTCTTATTTTTCTTTTTAATAAATGATGGGTTCTTTTTGTTTGCCTCCTGTACTTTGAGCCTTAAGGATGCACTTGGGTCAAATTTTCAAGCTATTCTCTGCAACCAGGAGGGCTAGAAACTTGCTTTATTCCCCCCCCCCCCCCCGGTGGAAGCTGAGATTATCAGCAAATCGGAGCTGAAGCTTTAAGAAGAATGCTAAAGATCACCAGACTCCCAATAAGAATCATGAGAGTTGCCAACACGGGCCGAGGGTGACATATAAGGGAGATAAGCCTGATAACAACAACTGCTTTTTAGGTGCAGAGAAGAAGAGAGCTGATTCAACTTGGGGTGCCACATTCGGCAAAGCATGGGCCAGCCCCTGGGCAAAAAGCGGAGGTTGTACATTCCCGTGGACACATCTCCTGTCCAAGGACAAGCCACGATTACAATCGCTGCGCTCTCCTGCTAACTCAGAAGGTGCCGTTTTTGCAGAGTTCCTACTGAAGAGCAGAAATGCACTTTAGCTCCGTATCATGAGATCCGAGCCTGATGAGAAGCCGATGGAAAGATTCCCTTTGACAGAAGCCCTTTTGTTCTGTTTTTGTACAGCATCCAGTGCAATGAGGTTCTGATCCACAACTGGGGGGCTCCTAGATAGTACTGCAGTACAAATAATAAACCACAGGTTTTGGATCGGGACCGGAGACCCCCTGGGAAGCAGATGAGGGAGGAACTTGACCCACTGTTGGTAAATAAGATCATCCTCATTTTACAGAGGTGAAGTGGCCCAAACCAGACCACGCAGCCAGAGTTAGAACCAGAACCCAAGCGTCTTAACACCAAGTCTTGTGCTCATTCCACTAGGCAAGGCTGCCCCAGTGGACAAAGCAGGCAACTGACAAACTGCATCAGCAGAACAGCCAGAGTCCCCGCGATCAAAACAATCCCTAGAACATGACCCAGATAGAGTGAAATTCATTCACCGCAGTGCAGAGGGCCAGTGCATAGTCCGGGCACTACTGCAGTTCCACTTAAATTCTAGTCTGAGCATTTAACGTGGGATTTCAGCATTGAGGTGGCCCGCTGCGCGGGGCTGAATTTCATCTCTGTGGAATCGTGGACGCTATCACGCCCACCCAAATGCTCCACATCTAAATTTAGCTCAGTACATGGCATTTTGTACTGCACATACTTAAGTGATTCATGTCAGTATGTGATAAACTGACCTCAAATGATACCCCCAGCAGAGCTCTTTGATGCATAATCTCCTTCTCCCAGGTCAATAAGGCTCCAGAGAAACACAAGGCAGAAGAATATGTTCTTTCTCCTAGCCTAGACTCGTTTAAGAGCAAAAACATGCCAGCGGTCCTAATGTGGAACAGAATTTGTACGCAGTAGCTACCCAGCACAGTAAGCAGTGCACATGAGGTTAAGACATTATTGGTAATGTGCTGATCAGATTCAAAATGCCTCCCTTGTAAACTTGCTTCCAACTTCATTTCCTTGTCACAAAAGTCAATTTAAAATGGCACATACAACCTGCTTAGACTAAGCATGTCATAGCAAGGCTGGCTGGAGATTCAAACAGGCAAGTGCCTGCAATCTGCACAAGAAAGGCTCTCAGTGGATTCATACTCCCATGGCTAAGCTTTATGGGAGCCATGTTCCGAAGTGTTTAGCATCTCAAACTCGCATTGAAGCCTATGGGAGTAGAGGGGCCCTAAATCCCACCCAGAAACCTCCCAGGGCCAAATACTGAATTGTGCTCCAAGCTGCACGGGCTCAGGGTCTCGAAGGATTTGGCCATTGCGTCATGTGGCTGCAGGAACAGAACTGAGCAATCAGAGAACGAACATAAAGACTATTCATGGACTTGTGAGGAAGCTCCAGGTGCCACAGAACCATCTTCGTAGTTCCCACGCCATCCTCAAATACAGGGCACATGGTTGTAGGAAGACGAGTTGGCCAGGGAGTGCTGCATCTGTCTACTTGTGGGCTGCCTCAGTGGCTCCCTGGAGGGCCCCTGGCAGCTGGTGCGAGTTAGAGCAGCTCTGAGGCTGCTCCAAGTTGCACTTGGGGAAGTGGCCCATCACCTGGCATAAGCCTCCCTGGCATAAGCCTGTGCTGGCTGCAGATGGGCCAGTCTCCACAATCTGGGCAACTAACTTCAATGGCAGTCAGACTGGGGTTTGGAAATAGACTCTGCAACTGACTAAATTATTTTCATTGTCCACGGTGCAACCACTGATATTAAAAAGGACCAACAGAACCAGTGATAAAGGCCATTAAATTTTAACAGCCTTTTCAGCTTTAATAAACTATAGCACGGATAGCAACACTGGGAATGGAAGTTCTGATATTTAAACCTGACAGAATCCTGTTGAAGTGATATGTAAAGTGCACAGTTGGGTGGAGAATTCAAAGAAAATGGAAGTCTTTGGAGGTTGTGCCTTTATAAGAACAAAGTAACAGGCTCAAGGTCCATGTTCTCAGTGGATACAGGCATTGCACTATAGGGTTAATTGAGCGAGTTTTCAAATAGAACATAGCACACCCTTCTGTGTAATCCCTTGTGTAACACCCACCAGCTCTGAGCACTTTGAGCAAATCGCTGCTTATTCGGCACTGAGCTGTTCCTAAGACAGGATTGAGGAAGAATCCAATTTAGAAAAACACTCTCGAGGAAGAGCGGAGAAAAGCAAAAAAGAGGAAAATTTGAAAGAGATGCTCAGAAAAAGCCAAGCTAGGGCCATGAGATGCAGGAGACTTCACATGCTCTAAAAGGATGCGGGCTGTGGGAAGACTCATGAATTATTGTTTTAAAAGGAGCTCCTTACTTAAGCCAGGAGCGTGATAGCTAGTAAGAGTCTAATCTAGCTAGAGCTGCTTTGATGCGGGGAGAGAGTTTTATTTTTAGCCAGAGAGGTAATTAAAGCAGGCATTGAATCTGAAAACATCTTGGGGATCTGTCACAGAAGGGCAAAAAGTGCATCTTAGGCATTCGTGTGAACCGCGAAAGGAGCAGTGAATGCGTCAGAGATGAGCAGAAAGAGAGCGGGCTCGGAGTTCATTTAGTAACAGCAAAACCCAACATCCAAGTTACGGAGCTCCTGTCAACTAACAAAACCACGTCTCTGCAGACTGAGCAGCTGGGATGGCTGAAGAAGGCCGAAGTGGCACCAGCCCCCCTTTCTCTCTTTCTTTTTCAGGCAGTGGTTTTCTTGCACTTTACCAGATAGGGGTGGTCCAATCGCTCTTGGAATTGGCACCTGAAATACTCAAATCAGCATCCAAAGTTTATGGAGCATCAGCTGGGTCACTTATCGCTGCAGCAGTGGTGTGTGAATCTAGCCTAGGTAAGGAAGGCTTTGGTTTATTCCGTGTATCTATTTGTTAATAATAATCATAATCATTATGAAAACATGGATTTTAATGCCAAGAAAGGATTGGAAAGGAATGATTTGTATGATAATACAATAACTAATAACTTAATCGTACAGCAACAGGGGACCGACAGGGCCAGATCGTCAGCTGGCAGACTAGCTGTGTTTAGGTCAGTAGTGGTACATTGCTTTACGTTAGCTGAGGATCTAAACCATTGTTCTTCAGTGGGAGCTCATGGGCCAGCTCCAGCCCCCACAGCCCTTCCATTTGGCCCACTGCCAGCCTTCTGGGAAGTAGCAGAGCTCTCTTCCCCTCCCCTCAGGGGCCTAGTCTATCCATCCCCTGGCCTTGGAGAGGGGGCTGCAGAACCCCAAAAAGAGCAGAGGTGAGGCTGGGGGCCCCACAACTGATGAGAGGGCTGGGCAGATAGCGGGCTAGAGGCAGGATTGTTGGGAAGTGGGCAGATGCAGTTCAGTTTAATTCCCCTCTGTTTACCATCATGCCACGTACTTAATTAAAAACCTTTCCATTTCCATTTAAACACCTTGGAGCTAGCCTGTGTTGATACATTTCGACTTACAGCAGTATGCTTTTAATCAGGCGTTCATGCAGACACAAAGCGATCAGTAATTGACGTGCTTTCCTTAGCTAGCGTGGTTGCTTTCTGCATAGCCCTTTTCCAGAAAAAAAGATGATGTGAAGGAGTTATCAAAATCTCAGGCAATCAGGGAAATTAGACGTTCCTTCATTTCTTGTGCGTTTTAAATTTACTTTAATTTCATAGCTTTAAGAGTAGAATTAATATTGACAGCATGATGTATTAATAGCATTATAGTCTATTTGTATAATTGCTTGCTTATAAGATTTCATTGGAATATTGCCTATGGATACCCAGCTTTTTATTTTGAGATTATTAAATACAATCCAGCACATCACTCTTGAAAGCTTGCGACCCCTGGCTGCTGGCCGACTCCCAAGAGAGCACACACCTCCCCCTATCTCCTGCCTAAGCTCCAGAGCGATTCATCAACCGGCGAAGATAATCGTTTGGCTGCCTACGTTGCCTGAGGGGACCCATCCAGTAGGCATGCTCAGAGGCTGCCTACTGGAGTGGGCCCCCCCATAGGTGAGTTCACACTTAACAGCTGTGGCGGAGGAGAGCCTTCGTCACCACTTTTCGCCCCGGGGTTAGGGGCCTCCCCTGGGCGGTGGGAGACCTTTGGTTCAGAAGGGATTTGAACAGGGATCTGCCACTTCTCAGGTGAGCGCTCTAATCACTGGGCTCGGGGACAGTCTAATGGAGGGGGCCCCTCAGTCTCTCCTGTTGAAGTGATTGCACTGTGGAGAAATGGAAAGGCTCATTGGAACGGGGGACTGGATCCTGGATCAGCCACAGCCTGGGTGAGTGATTGCATAGCCTGGTGGTTGGCACAGTCTCATGCTTGTGCTCTCACTCTTGCTCTCACAGAGTTATGCAGGCTACAGAGAATAGCCCAATGGTTAGAGCAGCCACTTGTGAGGTGGCAAATCCCTGTTCAAATCAATGCTCCCTACCCCGGAGGTGGAGAACACCTAAATCCTTTTGAGCATTCAGCCCTAAATGCTTCCCTGCTCAGGAGAAAAGGACACATCTTCCTTTCAGAGTAATACAATGCCTTTTCCAGCTGCAACACCCTAAGGGTACGTATGGACTGGAATAAAAAGCCCACAGCACAAGTCTCAGACCCTGGGTCAGCCGATTCGGGCTCACAGGGCTCGGGCTGCAGAGCTAAAAACTGCAGCGGTGACAGTCCCCTCGCGGGGTTTCAGAGCCTGGGTTCCAGCCCGAGCCCGAAGCTTTACACTGCAGCCCAAGCCCTGTGAGCCTGAGTCAGCTGATTTGGGCCGGCCCTGGCTGTGCCATGGGTCTTACTGCAGCATAGATGTGCCCCAAATCCCTGTGATCTTGTAATGTAAGGGCTTGATCTTGCCCCTGTTTAAGAAACAGCAAACGTCTGATTGGCATCAATGGGACCAAGAGGAGCAGCCCCTGGGTGATTTGTTGATCTCCAGGTGCTGGTTTTAGTGTAGAAATTAAGAGCGCTATGTTAAAGGGAACGTTTAGTTCACACCAGCAAGGTATACACGGACCCGTGAATATGCACTTTAGAAATCACACCCATGCAGTGCACAGTCCTGCCCCATGTGGACACACCCCAAGCCTTGCTGCTTTTAAAGAAATTTTTAAGGCAGAAAAAAAGAAGCATACCCATCTATGTACCAATATCTTAGCTGCTGCTTGTAAGACAGTGGTGCCCGACTGGCACATTCCCGGGCTTGCAGGGGGAAAGCTACCACGAGGAAATCTATAGAGGAGGCAGCTGTAATGGTTCAGTCCAATAGCGTCCTGCAGCTCACAGGTCGTCCCGCTTCTGGGCAATCACAGCCAGTAGCTCTGGCTCCCAGAGATGAGTTTGGAGCCTTCTTGTTTAGTCAGGCTGCAGACTAAAGGAAAATCCATGCCGCTCTGTTTTATTATAGCAAAAATCACAAACGTTTGTCATTTGGTTTTCAAGCAACTTTGATTTGAAATTCCGCTCCATTGCCTCCTCGCTTGACCCCGCAAAGCATTAGTTGTTATGTCACATGCCCAGAATATCTGCTCAAACATTTATAACTGCTCTTAGTTCCTGGGTTGCTCCAGTGCCTTCAGGACACGAAGATATTTTTGCTCCATCCAATCTGCCTGTCTGCCCGCCCCTCTTTCTAGAGCAATCTCAGGGGTTGCTGCACTGGGACAGCCAGAACACAGCCCCAAGTGAGCTTTGTTCTTGCCAGATTAGGCCCTAGTCCTGCAAAATCTTGAGCAGGTGGCTCAACTTTACACATGTGAGGAACCGCCTGGATGCCGGTGGAACTGGTGCATGTGCAAATTTCAGCACGTGCAGAAATCTCTGCAGGATCATGGGTCGAATGTGCTTCCGGCCATACGTAAAATAATCTAGGGCTTGAATGTGGGCCCAAGGGTTTGTTGAATTCCCAATGATCTCGCTTCTGCGTGGCCAGATAGCCAGATCCTAATCTAAAGCATCCTGCTTCAGTGTGTGAGGCAACCTCTAACTAAGGGATGTCCGGAAGAAACTTCCCCTGGGGGCAGGTTATCCCATTGCTTACTCCCGAAGAGTTTCTTGCACCTTCCTGTGAAGCAGGAGACAGAATCTTGACCTAGATTGACCCCAGGTCTGATCCGGTCTGGCAGTTCCTAATCTACAGGAGCCGCAATGCCAGTCCTGAGGTATTCATCTTATTCACGGCTTCAGTGGGAGCCTGCCTACATCAGGACCAAGTATATAATTAAGCTGTAAGCAGCCGCATGCTGGAGCTGAAAGGCCATCAGCCATTCTTCCACAGCCCTCTCCCCTCTCTCTCTTCATGCTGCTGAAAAGGGACAGTGCTCTAAGACCAGGACTGGGAACCAGGAACTCCTGAGCTCTGATATTGACTCTCTTGGGCAAGTCATGCCCTGGCTTTGTGCCTCAGTTTCCCCAGCTATCAAATGAGGATGATCCAGTCCCTATCGGCCTTGCAGGGCTGATGTAATTATTAACGGCACCTTGTTTCCTCCCATGTGAAGTGGGGAATGATAATATTTATCTATCCTCACAGGGATGCGGTGATGAATAGTGCAGAGCCCACCCCTCCCTGTGATGAGAGGTCATGAGGGAATCACAAGAGGATCCTCTCACAGAGATTTCTACTCCCTGAGCCACCCGAGTCAGGATTTTACCAGAAGACAGCATGATCTGACTGAAACAGATCGGTGGCACCACGCCCACAGTTCCCCACATTCACTCAGCTCCTCTGCTAAACTCAGGACCCATCTGAGCCTCCCGCTGAAACAACAGGGCTCAGCTAGATTCTCCTGAACTGTTCCAGTCCCAGCTGTGCCAGAAGTTGCCCTGTGTAACTTCTCTGGTCCTCAGATTCCCTGTCTTCAGACTGAGACTCACGTAGAGATGTGAGACTGTGCTCCCTAAGAAGGGATGTGAAATACAGCTCATCAGGGGCCAGTCCGTGCAAGAGGCAAACCTAGAGCACACGTTCTCCTGGTGTTTAGCCCAGTGTCCTGCCTCTAGGCCAATGGGTATTGTGGGAGGAGGAGACAGATCCATTCTGCCTGTGCCTTGCAGGAAGCCACAGCTCCATTCGGCTGCTTTGAGATGATGCCGAGGCTCTGAGGGGCCTGGCAGACTGCACAATCCACTAGGACACAAGTCTGCAGTTTGATAAAATGTTCCATCATTGTGCAAACCCTCATGGGCCTCTGATTGTCACTTAAAGGATTATTTCCTGTGGTTTATGACTGGGCCAAATTTGGATGAATTTTTTCTGGGAGAGCAAAAAGCCACTTCTGCGACCTCAGGGTTTTCCCCCTGTCAAATGTCACCTTCCTTCTCCAAGCTGCTACGGGTATGTCTACATTTTGAGCTCTCTGTGTGTGTGATTCTGTGACACAGAGGCTCTTAAGTAAAGGGTCCCCTGTTCGACACAGACAACTCTCACCTCAGACCTGAGAAACTCACTACACCAAGCACACGTCTTACAGGATATTTCTCCATGAAGAGTAACGTGTAAGGTATCCACAGAAAGCTCGTCACTTGTCAAGACTCATAATCTTTGCAAGATGTACGTACCGGTAATATTTAAGGGACTGGGAGTAGAAATTAGTCACCAGGGGACAATCTTGGTGATGGTCCATTTAGGCAGGAATGAGTTGCCTCCCTGCCCTGTTTAGCCCATGATAAGCTCAGTTGCTTAGCCTTGGCAATACCAAGACTTTCAATGGAAAACCATAAGAGGTAACTGCGAACAATCAAAACCACTGGAAGGTGAAAAGGGAACCTTACAACAAGACAGGGATTCCTCCTGTCTGTGAACAGAAGCAAAAGACTGTTTCAGTATAACACAGAGGAGGGAGACGTCCTCTGAATCCATACACTGAGGAAACCCCTTGTGGAGAGGGGGTGTTTTCATGAATGTTGATAAGCGTAGACCCAGGTTTGCGTTTTATGATTTTGCTTTGCATTGTAACCATTTGTTTCCAGCACTTTCTCTCTTGTCTAGTTAAATCTTTACCCTTTCTTAAATACACTTATAACAAAATAAAGGTACGTGCCCGCAAGTACTGTGTGTTGTACAGCAAAGGTGGTTTAATGTAAAACTGGACCTCTGGGGGTGGAGGATCTGGGATTTCTGTGAGCAGCCAGCATCAGGGGCTGCATATCACAGGGGAACATGTCAAAGGGACTTGGGGACCGGGGTACGCCTATTGCTAACCCACAAGGTGAAGTTGGGGCTGGCATAGCTCAGAGGAGAGCGCTCGAGGGGCTGAAAGGCTGGTGGTGTCAGCGAGATGACACCCAGGCAGGCACCGAAATGATTCCTTCTCGGTTGAGGCAGGGGATAACAGGGTGACTTTCAGTCCTAGGTGCCCCGAGACTGCCATGGAGCCCCAGTTGGAGGGGACGTACTCACATTAGCTCTCATGGAGCTTGATGAGAACTCTTGTGGTTACGTCTCCTCAGGCTGGAATTCCTGGGAATCTCCCCTCCCCACCAGTGCAAAGTGTAGACATACCCTAAGATGCTACCACTGCTCAAAAGGACACCAACAAATAATGAATGTTGATCAAACTGCCTGTTTGTCACTAACTTCTTTCTCAAAAACGGCTGCTCTGTTGTCAATCAAACTTTCTGAAAATATTCCACTTAGGGCAGAAAGTGGGCAATTTCCATCCAAAAGGTTACAGCTCAACAAAACGATACATGACTGAAAACACAGGGGTATCGCGTTGGGCAATCTTAGGACTATTGGGCCTTTAAGGAAAGCTGGTGATAAATGACCTCTGTTTTCCCTCCCTTGATCAGAGGACCTAAAAGAATCTTTCCATGAAGTGGTGAGAGATGCCAGGAAAACAATTCTCGGCCCTCTGTCTCCCGGGTGCAACACGCTCCGCACCATACAGAAGGGATTGTACAAGATGTTGCCAGAGAACTCTCACCAGGTGGCTTCGGGAAGGCTGCATATTTCCCTCACCCGGGTGATGGATGGACAGAATGTCATGGTTTCCGAGTTCAGTTCGAAGGAGGACCTGATTCAGGTAACGGGGGTGGTCTCCTCTCTGCTGAGCCTGCAGTGAAATTAAATGAGAAAAAAACAACACAAACTGAGTTCAGGAGGGAGAGGTGAAGTCCATGGAGCTTAGCTCAACGTGCATGAACAGGCAGAGGGAGGAGAGAATTCCACCTCTGTCCTGGTCCATAGATTCCACCCTGGTCCTAGGTTCAGAAGCAGCATATTAAGTTACGAGCACCAGACGTGGCCAGAAAGTAGCTCTCATTGGTACCTGCTCCTGGAAACAGCCTGTTCTGGTGTGTGCTAACTGTGGGAGAGGTCCTCCAGGCTAGGTGTTCCTAGCGCCCCTTGTTGTCAAGCTTTCTAACCTTATCGCCGGCTGCGGCCTCGGCCTCCCAGCCGCGGCACATTCCAAACCTGGTCCCCCATTCAGGGTGACTGAAAAGTCTAAACAAACCCAGTCCCCGTGTCTATGGGCCTTTATGTTGAGGCCTCATTCCCCTTGCAGGCTGCCTCTCTCAGTCCTGAGGCTCATACTGTCTCCTCTGTTGGGGAAGAGGTAGGGGAGCCCCGGCCTGCCCTCTCCTCTGGGCGCCAGCCCAGGGACCCTGTGTAAGGCAGTTCAGGACCGCTCCTTCCAATCACTTGCCACCTTCCTGGGCTGCTCCTACCTTCTACCCACATCCCTCGCCAGAGTGAAGATTCCATTGCTCCTGCTCTGTGGTTTGGTTGTCTTGGGGGGCTCCTTCCCATCCAGCTCCTAAGGAGCTTCTGCAAATCTTTCTGGCTGCTGGGTTGTGCTCCATGGAGTTGCCCCATCTCTCCTTAGGACGTAAATCCTCAGCCCCTTCCCTTGGAGCTGGGCTGCCTCCCAGACAGCTACTCCAGCCCTCCTTAAGGCAGTAGTTTCCCCGAGCTGCTCCCCTGGAGCTGGGTTATCATTCAGGGCCGCTGCAGGCCCTCAGCCAGCCTCTGCTCCAGCTGGCCATTTCCCCCCAATCCGCCTTTTTTTGGCTTTGGGCTTGGAGAATCCAGCAGACCACGTGTGCTGCTATATTCCAACAAGCGGCCAGAAGGCAGCCTATATGCTAGTCCCTTTCCCCCTGCTCATCCCCAATAGGTTGGGAGCACTGCCCTGCCCACTCTGCAAGACTCCTGATCCCAGGCCCTTAATCAAACAGGGATGGGTTTCTCTCCCCCTATTTACCCATAGGACCACTTCCCTCACCCACATTGGATTTAATGCTGTTCTTAGCAATGCCTGTCCTGATTTAAATACAGATTGATGCATCACCGAGTAGGCCCCAAGATCCACCCCAATATTTAAAAGTCTGGATTAGAGCTCGTCAAAATTGTCTGATGAACATTTTTCTGTTGGAAAATGCCGATTTGGCCACATTGAAATGTTTCATGGGAACATATGGATTTAGCACAATTTGCGATGCAAAATTATCAAAACGTTTCATTTTGATAAGGCCAAAGTGCTTCGTTTAGACGTTATCATTTCCACCCCTGGTTTTATGATAGTCTAGTATTGAAATGAAGCACTTTGAACTCCCTGGAACATTTTGTTTCAATAGGGTCGTTTCGATATTTCTGAAATGAAAGGTCGGAAATTTGGTTTCGCGGGAAATTTGGAATGTTGGCTTTTTGTGTTGGGATGAAAGGACATTTCTGACACGTCAGAATTTCTCCCAGAATGAAAATTCCAAGTTTTGACCAGCTCTAGTTTGGCTCCAGATCACAGTATGTCAGCCCCAGTTTATCTCCGTAAAGAAGCTTGAATCTCTGGGCAATAAATCCAATTGCTTCCCAACTTGGGGAAGTAGGGGGGTGAAGTATGCTCTTCTGTGACCCTTCTGTGCTTCTCTTCTCCTCACAGGCACTGATCTGCAGCTGCTTTGTTCCTATCTATTGCGGATTCATCCCTCCCTCCTTCCGAGGTGTGGTGAGTGCTCTTTAGCTAATATTCCAGGGGATACGCTTTTTATTCTCACCAATCTATTGCCAGACACTGCTCTCAGACATCGCTTCATAAGGCCAAATCCTCAGTTGGTGTAAATACGTGTTGCCCCACAGACTTTTGCCCATTTACACTAGCTAAGGGTGGATCCATTCCATAGATCTAAAGGCTGCACTGGGCCATCAAGTCCAACCTCCGGTATAACCCCAAGTCACTGAATTTCATCCATGAATTCCCTGTGGTGGGTGTGACCGATAGCTCCAGGAATCTTGCTGCTGGTGGGGGTTCACTTGTTTCAACAACTTTTAGTTTGCTCTGTTTCAGTCGCTGTGGCTTCGCACCCTTTTGATTTCGGTGGTAAATTTCAGGGTCTCTTGAATCCTGCAGAGAGAGGATAAAAGCCCAAATGTCACCAGCGAGTTGAATTCAGCTCAGAGCAGTCCGTACAGAGTTCCCTAGGGGGCTGGATGTGATTGCGCCACGCAGAAATTGCCAAAGCCAGCATGCCAAAGCTACAAAAAAGCGCCAGACGCAGGATGTTGCCTTTAAGTAGCAGCTTAAATTCAGAGCTCTCATAGTGCTCTGTCACGGGTCTAGTATTTACAAGCTTGACAAACAGGCTCATGAGTAGCTGGATATATCTATGGAGTAGCTGGGATATTCCCTCCCACGCAGGCTAAAGCCTTCACGAGCTGCCCTGTTGCAGCTTGACAACAAGCCTTTAATAATCACCACCGATTGTGTCATCATGCTCATTGTAACAAGCCAGTCGCTACCATGGTGGCTGCTGTATAGTAACCTGTGTTTTTTAACTATGGTGAGGTTTGGTTTAACTTTCTCAGCCATTCTCATGTCCCACTGGCTACACCTCCCATGCAGGCAGGCCCTGGACTCCAGCCAATAACTCTCTCTCCCAAGCTGCTCCTCTCAGCTCTTGACCCATGGCTACGTGGGGAGAACGTGGCTGTGGGAGGAGGGGTGAAGAAGCAGGACAGGTTGGGGGAATAGGAAAGGTTCCAAGTAGGGGCAGGGACTAGCTCCTCCCAGGAATTCAGACCCCATTACAGACCTTTCTTCCCTCACTGGCACAATGCACCCCACGATTATCCATGTAACGCAGCAAAGAAAACAGTTCAGCAAAGTGGCCAGCCCTGAAGGCGCCCCAGAGCCTTAAGGATTCACGGGATGTTCAAAAAATAGGTGTGTGTTGCACTTTGCTAGCACTCCCCGTGCAAGGATTACAAAGCTCTTTTACAAGCAAGTAATGCATTCAGGCTCCCAACACCCCATGGGTGGTAGGCAGAGAGCATTATCCCCCGCTGTGGTACCGATGGGATAAGTGACTTGTCCAAGGTCACACAGGAAATCTGTGGCAGAGGAAAGAATAGCTCCCACATTTCCTAACTCCTGTTCCTGTGCCTTAACCACAAGCTGATCTTTTGCCCTCTGGGATCAGAGATCAGTGGCCTGGGATTCAGGAGGCCCGGGTTCTTATTCCTGGCACTGGCTTGCTGGGTGACCTCGGGCAAGTCACGTCACCGCTCCCTGCCTCAGTTTCCCCAGCTATAAAATGGGGGTGATGACGCTGCTCTCCTTTGTAAAGCACTTTGAGATCTACTGATGAAAAGCACTAGATAAGAGGTAGGGATTATTATACATGCTACTAATTTGCAGATCCCCACTGAGGTGGCAGGTACCCTGTTCAGACACCCACATGTAACAAACAGCAGGCCTGCATTGGTCCCACGATCACCTGTCCTGATTGCTGCGACGCTCCTGACTACTTTTAACTACGATCGTCTCCAAACAAACTTCCCTGTTGTTTCTACCCTGTACCCCAGCGCTACGTCGATGGAGGTTTCACTAACCTGCAGCCGTGTTCTGACCTGGAGACTGTGATTACGGTGTCCCCATTCACGGGCGAGCTCGACATCTGTCCCCGGGACTGCCCGGCTATCTTCTACTCTTTTCAGATCCTTAACAGCAGCATTCAGATCTCAATGGAAAACCTGTGCCGGTTTAGCTATGCTCTCTTTCCACCCAGCTACCTGGTAAGTGGTCCCTGCCAATGTACCCCAGTGCTTCGCAATCGTCTTACCCTCAGGTAGGGTTCCCCCCTCTCCAGATTTTCCCAGGATCGTCCCTTTTTCGAGGTAGCTGTCCCAGATGAAATATTTCAGAGTAGCAGCCGTGTTAGTCTGTATTCGCAAAAAGAAAAGGAGGACTTGTGGCACCTTAGAGACGAAGTGAGCAGTAGCCCACGAACGCTTATGCTCAAATAAATTGGTTCGTCTCTAAGGTGCCACAAGTCCTCCTTTTCTTTTTCCAGATGAAATAGCCTTTGAGCTGGTACCTGTACCCACTGGCGGCATTTTTATCAGAGCCAGCGAGCTCGGAACCACCATCCCATGCTTTAGGGTTTAAATCGATCTCTATTAGGGATTAGGCTGAAACCCTCAAAGGTGTGTGTGTGTGTGGGGGGGGGGAGATTATCCCACATCTGCTATTGTGGGGTTCTTACACCTTCCTCTGAAGCATCTGGGACTGGCCCCTGTCAGAGATGGATACTGGATGGAATAGAACTTGGGCCTGCTCCAGCCTGGCGGCCCCTACGTCCCTACGCTGCAGACGATGGGCCAGAACCTCAGCTAGCGTACTCAGCCTAGCCCCACTGAAGTCAATGCTAGTTTACACCGGCTGCGGCTCTGCCCAGCACACATCTGCTGCTGTGCCGCCCAACCAGGATTGTGCCACACAGTCCTGGGATTGATGTGCACCTCCAGTTCTGGACGCCATGGGCCCGATCCTCAGCTGGTGTAGACTGGCATAACTCTTGGCAACATCACAGCTGCCTGCTCTCTTGCTCCCCATCAATTCTGCCCTCACATCCATTCACCCCCCCGCCCTCCACCTCACCTCTTCCTGCCGCCCCGGGGTACTTCACCCCCCTTCCCAGACCTGCACCAGGGTCCCCTCTTCCCCTCCTTCTAGGCTGGGGGTAGGGGTGGTCCCAGGGGTTCTTCTCCCCCACTCCCGCACCCCCTACTTTCCCAGGCCAGGCACGGGGGGGGGGGGGAAGGAGCAGAGGTGCTGCCCCTGTTGCTCACTGGAGGAGAAGGGGGAACATAGCTGCCCTGATCTGGTGGGTTTTTTCTGCTCCCTCCTCCCCTCCAGTGCAAAGGGCTTTGGGGGAGTTGAGGGGTAGCTCTGCCTGTTTCCTGCAGCAGGACAAGAACCAGAAATTGCAATCTGATCGGCTGCTCTACCCCAGGAGGCAGGGAAGTGGGGAGGGCAAGCAATCAGAGGGGGTTTTCCTCCAGGCCATGCGCCCCTCAGTGACCAGCTTGAGTTGCAGAAGTATTATTTGCCAGGTCTGTGGCCCCTTTTGACCAGGGACCCTTTAAGCACTGAGGATCTGGCCCCAGATATTAATTCCCCACATGGCGTATCGAACAGCATTAGAGAAGACATGACTTCTGACCCTAGAAGAACACTTCCTGCAGCTGGAATTCTTTCTGATGCCAGGTGCTTTCCTCCACAGGTCCTGAATGAGTTTTTTTCTCGAGGGTATCAGGATGCTGTCCTTTTCTTACACAGGAACAGTAAGTGTTACCCCGAGCCTGTAAACAGACAGGAGGCATTCTCTGTATGGCATTGACATGCAGGAGGAATGATAAAACACATGGTTTCAAATCCCCTGCACCTCCACTAGTGAGCAATAAAGGAAACATGTATCTAAATGACTTGCTTCTCACTAGGCTACTGGAGACATCTCTCTCTGTTCATGTTTATTACCCTAACCCTTTGTCCTATAAGACCTACAAGGTCAATTTGATATGGTTGGAGACATCTCTCTGTTATATTCTCTGTGACCATGGCCTTCCATGACAGCAACGTTCCTCTAGAACAGTGGGAACTGTCCAGCAACAAAGGGAGGCTTGTATCCACAGGGAATAGAACTTCCACAGGAGCCTATGGAACTCAATGCCTCATGACATAAGAATCAACACTAACCGTGGTTTTGCTAAAGCCCCAGGAGATGTGGGTCAGAAGCTCAGACAAACCTGCTGGCCAGGTGCACTTAGGCTATGAGGGGGACATTAACAAAGGTACGGCCATGAAAGTTGATGGGAACTAGGTGTCCTAATGTTTCCAGTCTCATGAAGTGTCACCAGGATCTTCCACATAATCCCCTGCAATTAAACATCACTTAGTTTTACCTGACTGTTTATGAACAGTTTTACCCTTTGTCGTCATGTCTCATAGATGCCTCTGGTATCAATTATCCCGCCAACACGGTGAACTTCCAGTTTGCCAGTTTGCTCAGTAAAAATGACTTGTCTCGAGCCAGTGAGGAGTCGTCATGCCAGAACCCAGACGCAGTGGGGCTGGAATCCAATGGGCCAGCTCCCAGGGACCCACCCCCCAAGCAGGCTCCTGCTGTGAGCGGGACACTCAATGGAACAGACCAGAAAATACTGCAGCAGCTGCCCCCCCGCCAACACAAAGGTAGAGAAGTCTGATTTCTTTCCTCCTGCTGGGTTTTCTCCAGCTGAGTAACGGTTTGCCTGGGATCTGTGGGGTGGTGCTGCAGGAAGGGAAGGGATGTGGGTTTGCTTTGTATTGGATGGGAGGGATGGGAAGGGATTCCAGTTCAGTGAGGGGAAGGCCTTTGAGCCCAGCAGTCCAGTGGGATTTTTATGGCTTTACTATGTCTTTTATATCTGCTTCGCTGTGCTTGAAATAAAGCAGTTAAGTCATTTTTTTCGATGGACAGATGCCTACTAAATATCATTACTGAGCCAAATCCTGAAGCACTTACTTACGGGACAATTCTTGGGACACCTTGGAGAGACAGTCACCTTGCTACCTCCTGTCTCCATGGAGAAGGTGTCTTCCTTGTGGTGGCAGGGTGTCAGTTACCTACCACCACCAGCCTTTCAGCCCCCCGAGGACTCTCCTCCCGGCTACGCCAGCCCTAACTTCACCTTGCAGGTGAACAATAGGTGCACCCCAGTCTCTGAGACCCTTTGACTCATTCCTCCATGATGTCCAGCCCGTGATGCTAGATGCTCACAGAAATTCCAGATCCTTTGCCTCCAGAAGTGCACCCTGTCCCATTTTACCTTAAACCACCCTTCCTGCATAACACACAGCACTTGTGAGCACGTGTAACAAAATAAAAGTAGGTCTGGTTAAGAAAGGGTACTAGAAACGAGAGAAAATGCTGGAAACAAATGGTTACAATACAAAGCAAAATCATAAAACGCAAACCTGGGTCTACACTTATCAATAGTTCCCTCTCCTATCTCATAAAATGAGATTTCCCCTCAAAGTTTAGTCTGTTGCAGAGCTGGCTGGTTTCACAAGAACCAGGATCCAAACGTTCATGAAAGCCTCCCCTTGCTCCTTAAGATGTTTCCTCAGTGAATGAATACAGAGTGCCTTGGCCTATGCTCTGTTAGTCTTTTGTTTATGTTCATAGGCAGGGTCAACCTGTGTCTTTTTGTATCTTCCTGTGGTTTCCATTGTTTGGAATTGTCTTTGATTATTTCCCATTGAAGTCTTGGTATTGAGTAGGGCTGAAAAATGGAGCCTTGCATTGCATCACTGGCTAAGCAGGGTGGGGTGACAACTCCCTCCTGGCTAACTGGGCCGTCACCAAGACACATTATCCCCTGGTGACTAACTTTCCCTCCAACTCCGTAAAGCAGACTTTCAATATAAATACATTACCCTTTAAATATCTTCCGTACATACAGCTCACACTGATCATGAGTCTTGATGAGCTTTCTGTAGATACCTTCATGTTACGCTTTGTGGATAAATATCCTGCAAGACATGTGTTTGTGTAATAAATTTGTCAGGCGTGACATGAGAGTTGTGTGCAAAGAACAGGGGGAGGAGCCTTTGCCAAGGAGTGTCTGTGTCACATCTATTCAAGCCAAACTTTCATTGAAGCTTGGATGTGTGCACAGATATTCGAGGGGCCAACAAAGGACGATACCGCTGAGAACAGCTGACCTGTGGCTCCCCCCCACTCAACCTGTGGTTATCCAGTGGTGGTGGGTGGTGGGGTCAGGAGCAATGGGGGAGGGTGATGCTACGGTGATGACACTCATTTTGTTGTCATGGTCCCCATTCCAGATGCACAGCTGATCCAGCCCCCTGTGTCTGGGATGTGTGTTGCAGTTGGGGTAAATGCACATTGGGAGTGTGAGCACGGTAAACGTTAGGGTTGCTACATTGATTGCTGCTCGATGGTGAACTGTAGTAAAGTAAGTGTGTGTGTGAGTGTGTGAACACGCGTGTATACATATAAATGGAAAGTGTGTATAAAGCAGCAGCCACAGATTTAAAATTCCTGACACATTTTTGGTGCATTCCAACCTTGTTTACATTTCTCTGAAGTTCCGAGGAAACTAAAGACCCAGTCAATGCCCATAGCACAGGTAAGCGACAAATATAACACTAATATCTATTGCTATGAGCAACGGAGGGGTTAAAAGACCATCACTGGGATAGGGCTACAACCAAAACTGGGGCGAAGGTGGGATTTGCACAGGGGACAAATAGTTTGCGTCCAACTCCCATTGGATTCCAATGGGATTCGGGTGGCTAATTTCCTTACTTTCCTTTGACAGCTCAGCCGTTTAAAGGAAATTCTCTCTTGGAGGGTAGGCCGGGGTGTCTAGACTCAGCACGATTTTCAGGACACTATTCATTTTGGGGTTTCCTTTAGCTGAATTTGCTCCATAAATTATGAGTCTTTTTTAAAGCCTTGTGTTTGTTTATCTGTTATTGGCATTTGGCTGTCACTCCAGCTGCCCGGGAGAGGCAGAAGACACCTGGATTGCTGGACTCGGTGGCTGAGATAATATTACAGTGTCTTATGTCATATAAGCTTCCTACAAAGATGATGTTTTCTCTTAGTAAGAGGTGAGTCAAGATGGGGTCTAAATGAGCTGTTACCACGCAAGAAAGATCTTGGAGTCATTGTGGAGAGTTCTCTGAAAACATCCACTCAATGTGCAGCGGCAGTCAAAAAAGCAAACAGAAGGTTGGGAATCATTAAGAAAGGGATAGATAAGAATACAGAAAATATGTTGCCTCTATGTAAATCCATGGTACGCCCACATCTTGAATACTGCGTACAGATGTGGTCGCCCCATCTCAAAAAAAGATCTATTGGAATTGGAAAAGGTTCAGAAAAGGGCAACAAAAATGATTATGGGTCTGGAACGGCTTCCGTATGAGGAGAGATTAATAAGACTGGGACTTTTCAGCTTGGAAAAGAGACAACTAGAGGGGATATGACTGAGGTCTATAAAATCATCACTGGTGTGGAGAAAGAAAATAAGGAAGTGTTATTTACTCTTTCTCATAACACGAGAACTAGGGGTCACCAAATGAAATTAATAGGCAGCAGGTTTAAAACAAACAGAAGGAAGTATTTCTTCACATGACTCGGTCAGTCAGTCAGTGGAACTCCTTGCCAGAGGATGTTGTGAAGGCCAAGACTATAACAGGGTTCAAAAAAGAACTAGATAAGTTCCTGGAGGATAGGTCCATCAATGGCTATTAGCCAGGATGGGCAGGGATGGTGTCCCTCGCCTCTGTTTGCCAGAAGCAGGGAATGAGCGACAGGGATGGATCACTTGATGATTCCCTGTTCTGTTCATTCCCTCTGGGGCACCTGGCACTGGCCACTGCTGGGAGCCAGGATACTGGGCTGGATGGACCTTTGGTCTGACCCAGTATGGCCATGCTTATTTTCTTATGAGTTTGTGCTGAATGAGAGTTTCTGATGGCTTTTCAGCCTTGCAGCTTCAGCTGTGGTTCTTTGGTGAGACCATGTGGTCTATGCAAGGGAGTGGGAGTTGGGAGACTTAGGGTTCTACTCCTCATTCTTAGGGCTGGTCAAAATTTTTCTGTTGAAGCTGTTCTTCCATGGAAAACTCGGTTTTCAATTAAATGAAAAGTGTCTGCTTGCTGAGGAAAAGTTTGATTTTTTCATCCAAAAACAAAACACCGGAAAACTAAAATATTGTGGCCAAAACCTGAACTATTTCAATTTAGATAACCCATGGGAATGGCTCATGGGAACTGTAGTTCATTTTCCTCACATCCCTAATCTCCTCTAGAGGCCTGGCTCTGCATTCACAGCACAGTGAGCGCAGTCCATGTTTTTGCTTTTAAAGGATAGAACAGCTCTGGGGCTTGTTGGACGAAATGTGCTGGATGGCACAACAGTTCATAAGGACCAGGCGATTGGTCAGAAATACTGCCACTGGTTTGTCAAACGAAGTGGTGTCAGAGAGGTAAGAGGTTCTGTTGCTTTACAGCCTTGATGGGAATGGGATCTACTGAAGAGGGAGGGGCATGAGGAGAAGATAGTCAAAGGCTCAGTACCTAAATACCTTTAGGATCTGGGCTTAAGTGCCTAACTCCCATTGATTTCAGTAGGAGATAAGCACCTGAGTACCTTGGAGGATCTGGATCCTAGTCTTCATTGAAAGTCAAGGTGAGTTAGATGCCTTACGACCACTGGTGCCTTTGACAATCTCCCCCATGGAGTTCTATGGGGAGATGAGTCAGACCTACATGAGAGTCATTGGCCATGGAACCATCTAAGCACTTCGGCTATAATGTACAAGCCTGCGTGCCTAGAAGGAGGTTCTAAAGGAAAAGTGGTCCCATTTTCTAAGATACTGAATGCCTGCAGCTCTCACTGACTTTTGAGAGTGCTCCAACCCCGAGAAAAATGAGGCTACTTTGGAGGCTAATTTTAAGGTATGAAAATTTTGGGGCTCTGCAACTCTGTAGAGACATATTAAATGGGGAAAAGACAGACTTTAGCTTCCTTAAGTGAGATTTCCCCAATGTCACTTCACAGAACTTAGACTAATTGGACAACTAGCCCATTTTCACTGTAATGTCTTCCCTCAGCCCATGCCTGACGGTTCTGCGTGATATCCTCATCAGAGCTTTGTCCAGTCTGGTTTCTAGCTTCAGTAGAGGGCTCTTTTTTCAGCTAGAAAATTTGCTTTGGGCACTTAAAGCCTGATCCAAAGCCCATAGACATCTACGAGAGTTTTCTCACTGATTTCAGCAGGGCCATCATGATACTGAAGAACCTCTACTGAGTCATTATGCTCCATCTCTCCTGGTCCCCAAGGAACACATATCATTTTAAGCAGAGCAGCAGAAATGTTTAGCCCATCACTCTCATAACAATGCGTTAGGTTGGGAATTTTTCACTGAAACATTTTTAATCAGAAAAGGTTTCATCAAAACTGAAACTCCCTGAGGGAATATGTCAATTTTGACAAATTGTTCCTTTAGAAAAAACAATGCAGGGGGAGGGGAACTGTCCCATTTCAACATTTTTGGAATAAAATTATTCAATTTTTGTTCAAAATAACTTTTTATTTGAAGTATTAGTTACATTAAATTTTTTTTAAAAAGGGCAGTACCAAAATAAAATGTTTTGATCAACCCACACCGAAGATTTTTTGTGGGGGGTTCTGTTCATGAAATTTGACTTTCTCTCAAAAATTCTCACAGGATAGGAAAACCACTTCCCTCCTCATTTTAGGAGGCATGAGGTGACATGCGTAGCATTTCTTCAGAAGTGGATCATATGTAATAAATGTCCATTTGCTTTCTTTAGGAG